GAATTAAATGAAGATGAACAGTATTAAAAAGATCCTTAACAGTTTTAACATTGAAATATTTATGAAAAAGTGTGCGTGCATGCGTGGCTCTCTAAAGACCAGAGAAATCAATATGGTGAATATGGGCTCTGATCTTTGAAGTCTACAGAGCTACAGACATTGGGTCACTTGGTCAACATGTGTTGAGAACAAGTCAAAAATGATACCTGTGATGTCAGACCATATAGCAATTCTAATATCTGCAAGCATCCCAACTCTCAATTTTCTGACAATTTCATTTCTTTCTACCTTAGCATTTGGGAGTTTTTGAGTAGCATTCAGCAATATTCTAGCTATATGAAGACGATGTGTAAACAAATCAGGCCTGAACCACACAATCTAGTAATTGATATTGTAAGCAGTGATCCACACCACTGGGGTACAATATAAGGGTAATGCTTTTTTTAGGGCATTATCATTTGCAGAAGCCTGAGGTCTTCCATTAATTGCCCAACGAAGGAGGGCAGTTGAAAAAGACCAAAGGTTTCTGCAAATGATAATGCCCTCAAAAATATCATTCCCGTTATTATTGCTAAAATACCGTATATGACCGTCTAGAAGCCGAATTTTGAGGACCAAGAAAAGCAGTCTGTAGAAGGGGGTCGTCTTATCCATGGGTTACGCTTTCGTCAAACTTTTTTCCAGGGGTAAGAAAACAACGTTGTATCACTTTGCGTGAACAAAGAACAGAAGACGACTTTGTCAGTAGAGACGTCAAATTTGCAATTAAACATCACTCGACAAGATTATTTACCTTTTAAGTTCTAAGTTGCTTTTGCTGGGCATTGTATTATTTGCAGGGATTAAGATTACCGTGTGTATCTGAGCCGGAAATAGCAATCAGCTGTGCACATGTTTCCCGGCGATCAAGTTCAAACATGCACAGATAATATAACGGGACAAATTCTGACGCAGTCATCAGTAAAATATAATACAGAATACTATTATTTAACCCAAAGAAATATATCCTAGCATTGTGTAATTTTAGTTACAGTTTTTGCTCTATAAATTAATCAAGATTAAGATTACATTGTGTATTTGAGCCGGAAATAGCAATCAGCTGTGCACACGTTTCCCGGCAATCAAGTTCAAACATGCACAATAATATAACGGGACAAATTCTGACCCAGTCGTCAGTAAAATATAATACAGAGTACTATTATTTAACCCAAAGAAATATAACCTAGCATTGTGTAATTTTAATTACAGTTTTTATGTAAAATATATATAATCAACACTAAGGTTATACGGACCCTCATGAACGTGGTAAGCAGAAGTTGTACGCACATGGAATGGGGTAAAATACGGAAGCCATTTAAATTCACACATTTTTACCGATGTTACTGTAAACTAGCAGTCAGTGGAAAACAAGGCGGTAATCAGTTCATGATTGTTGAATGGGGTAAAATAAGCAAGCCAGTTTGTTGCTACAATATATATGATATTTAGAGAAACAAAATATATTATGCATTTTCTGTTAACTACATTCGTTTCGATCCGTGAGTAGACACAATAATAAATGATTGTGAATTCTTTGAATAATGTGGACCAAAGTTATAATTATTGGTAACTGCCAGTTGTCTGTAGTGTGTGTTTGCCGCGATTAGGACCCCATCGCGGGGGATCGACTTATGCACGAAACATACCATTTTGACACTGATTTTAAGTGTCAAGTTTGGGGGTCGTCTTATCCATGGGGTCGTCTTATAGACGGTCATATACGGTACATGGAATTTGTGTTGAAAAGAAAAAGGAAACAATGAAAGAATTTGACTGTAATTTTACTCAAAACCAACTTCTGATGGGGTTGACTGCACGAATGCAATTATGTCATCGAACAATTCAAGTGACGTCACAACAGAAAGTGACGATATTCGACCTTGGCCTTTGACAAGACCATAGCCTGCAACATGTCAAACTATGTCAGTGTTCGGTTTTGGTCCAACAAAAACGTTAATAGTGCAATTGTTAAGGTTAGCACAAGCAAGAAAGCCAACATTACCACTATTTAAAGCGGGAATTTGGGTTGCTTTGACTTGTTTGACTCAGAATATCTGTCAGTCCAAAGCCAATGTCAATTGAACCATAAGCCCACGCACCCACTATGACGTCACTTGACAACAGAACTGATAGTGGCCCGTCGTTAAGGTTGAGCGGTCCAATATCATTTGCAGTGGCCCGCAAATTTCTGATAATGGGAGGGCCGTTTCATGATAATTCCATGTATTTTAGCTATAATGACATACAATCAACCCAGTTACCCAGCCTGACCACCCAATCTTACAATAAGTTACATTGTTCCTTAGGACCAACATAGGTTGCTCGGGACCTGTTCTAACCTAGAGTTCTCACACCTTAAAACCAACAGTTAACTAAAGGCATACATAGAGGTCAAATATTCCCATTCTATAACAATATAGAACACACAGAGTATCATGCATTCTTGAGATAAAATACAGTATGCATCTCAATCGGTAATTATGCAATTTTTGAGTGAAATTCTCCCCGTTCCATAGGGCTCAGCTGACAAGATTATGCTATTAACCAGTTTCTGTAAATCAACCCACACATTTAGCTTCTCAAAAGCTCTTTCTACAAATATTATGCCAACCAATTTCACAGCATGTTTCATGACTTGTGATAAGGTAAAGCTAGCTTGAGTAGTGATAAAGCCAAGTTGGAAAATGATAATATTTTGATGAATCGTGTTGGACAGTCTCTTTGATGCATCAAGACATCGAGCAATCATAACCCACCTATGTGCCCCCAAACAATACTGAGATGAATGTAAACTGACTAGTTTGCTCCTTGTTTAAAGCTGCACTCAGCAATATTCTGGCTGTTTGACAGCAGTCTGGTCTTGAGAAGACAATTTAGTGATCGACATCATGAGCATTGGTTTATGCAATTGGGATGCAATGACATGCATCGACCAAGTCAACAAGCCTGGCCATTCCATCAACCTTTACAACAAGAGGCCAGCTGAAAGCTAGCCTGGATTGTCAGTGGGGAAACTGATTGGAAGGTGATTGGTATTGTTGATACACAGATGCTGAAACTTCCATCAACATGTGAAGAAACTATTTCATTGACTTAATCAGTACATGTGCCTAACATCTTCAAATGATTTGAAGAGAGGGTGGAGTTATTTACTTTTTAAGTTCTATTTATCTCAAGTTTTTAGATAACAGAATACAATTAAAACAGTTAACATCTGTGACATCTTAAGTTTAAGTAAGGATTAAAATCTCATCACCAAAGTTATAAACCTGAGCTTACAAATATGATGCAATCTCTTTTGTTATGCAAAGAAAATATTTGTTTCAACTGAACAAATCAAAGCCTTCTTCCATGAACCTAATAAGATCATTCAACAACAAAAGAGAAAACCTTTATCTTAATATGTTCAAACAATGTGCTATACAAAAGAGACCTTCATAACCTACTTGGTTGTCCCCCAGAAACCATGTTTTTGTATTTTACAAATGTCCATGCCACTAAAAAAAAAGAAAAAAAGAAGAAAAAAAAAAAGAAAAAAAAGAAATCAGGCTGAATGTTACAGCCCTGTGCAAAGCAATATCAGTGACCTTGAAAGCATTACAGGATCTGGAGCAGGTAAGCTGTTAGCATCAATCCAAAGACTTACATCGTTCACTACAATCTGTGAATACAGCTTTGCAATTTATCAAGCTTGCAGCTATCCAAAACATACGATCAGGAGCAAGTTGGGTTCAATATCACATGCCAGCTTCATTTCAGAAGGATATGTCAGGCTGCAGACATTCAGAGGCCCAGATAAGCTGTATATCCGTGTAAAATACGCATAGAAAATATCCAATTACGCACTGAAAAATAATTGTTGCGTACCAATTATGCATTTAAACTGTTACATACGCAAAGAGTTTAAAACAAATGCGTACGGAATATATTTATAAATATCGCTTGCGTAATGAAAAAGACATCGATTGCTATCAAGTTGTACTGTTAGTATAGGACAAGTGTTGTACTGTCAGTATAGGATGAGTGATTTTTTATGAAATCATTTCCCTTATATTTAAGTTGGTTTTGACTAGGTATGACATAAGGCAGAACATACCTGCTTAGTAAACTTACTCAATGACATAATACTCAGGTGAGTAAAATGACATACGCACATATTTGAAAGCAGTGGGTAACGGAAAATGAAATACCCACTCAACATTCATAATACCCACTCCAAAAAAAATACAGTGGGTACTGTACCCACATCAGCTAAATCTTATCTGGAGCTCTGGATGTTTAGTACTCTCCAGAAACCCATCAACCACTAATGTCAGGGATCATAATCAGGGACTGTCTGGGGTTCAAACCCACAACAAGCTCACCCTGACAAAGAATACAACCTGGTACTGCATGTATTGATTCCCTACTCCACTGTGCCACTAGTGGGACTGTCTGGGGTTCAAACCCACAACAAGCTCACCCTGACAAAGAATGCAACCTGGTACTGCATGTATTGATTCCCTACTCCACTGTGCCACTAGTGGGACTGTCTGGGGTTCAAACCCACAACAAGCTCACCCTGACAAAGAATGCAACCTGGTAGTGCATGTATTGATTCCTTACTCCACTGTGCCACTAGTGGGACTGTCTGGGGTTCAAACCCACAACAAGCTCACCCTGACAAAGAATGGGGTACTGCATGTATTGATTCCCTACTCACGAGTGGGACTGTCTGGGGTTCAAACCCACAACAAGCTCACCCTGACAAAGAATGCAACCTGGTAGTGCATGTATTGATTCCTTACTCCACTGTGCCACTAGTGGGACTGTCTGGGGTTCAAACCCACAACAAGCTCACCCTGACAAAGAATGCAACCTGGTAGTGCATGTATTGATTCCTTACTCCACTGTGCCACTAGTGTTTTCTGGAACCAACAGGAAAGCCCCTATCAATAGACTACAATAACGTGGAATGTTACCTTTTGAGATAGTGAGAGCTGGCGACCACTGTGACCTGAGTATATCCAAACAGATACTGCCATTGCTGTTGATGTTCGGATGATAGATTTTCGTTGTGAACGCCACCTGAAAAAGAGGGGACAAACGAGGGGAATCACAGTATTTATCTAACTCATTTGCCTATCCCAACACAACAGCATGCAATATTCCTTCCTGCTTCGATAATATAACAGGGGAAAACACTTAACACCTTTAGTTGTGCCACTTTGAAGAGACCTGATGAGACACTTAGTGAGGCACAGGCGCCATGAGTAGGTTAATATAACTTATATGGGTATGTCAGTTGGAGCGGCTGATTCTTGTGATCAGTAAAAGCAGAACTATTTGCAACAAGCTTCCTCTACATGTGTCTGTTGTGCATGCATTGTGACCCAGGCAAAACTAAACAAATCACAGTCGTATGTATGGGAGAGTGAGGTGAGGTGAGGTGAGGTGAGGTGAGGTGAGGTGAGGTGAGGTGAGGTGAAATTGGATTTAACGTCGTGCTTGAGAATATTTTGCTCATATGACAACATGCATGCGTGTGTATGTGTATGTGCGGCTGCTTCTACTAGCCCAGACTGAAGCTGGTTTTATAGTGCTAGCCCACTGAGATCCCATGCCGCAGTGAAGCATGAATACCCCACTCAGAAGCATTATACTGACTCTGAGCCGACCAGTCCTTGTACCCATTAATGCCGAACGCCAGGCAGGGACCAACAAGTACCATATTTTAATGTCTTTTGGTATTACGTGGTCGGGGATTGAACCCACGACCTTCCGCTCTCCGGGCAGATGCTCTAACCACTACAGCACGGAGGTGATCTATGGGAGAGAGAGAGAGAGAGAGAGGAAGGGAAGGAGAGAGAGAGAGAGAGAGAGAGAGAGAGAGAGAGAGAGAGAGAGAGAGAGAGAGAGAGAGAGAGAGAGAGAGAGAGAGAGAGAGAGAGAGAGAGAGAGAGAGAGAGAGAGAGAGAGAGAGAGAGAGAGAGAGAATGAGAGAGAAAGAGAGAGAGAGAGAGAAAGAGAGGGAGGGAGAGAGAAAGAGAGGGAGGGAGGGAGAGGGAGGGAAGGTGGAGAAAAAGAGGAATTCACTCTGGGGTTTCTTCCAGTTTTTATCTTCCTTATATCCACGGTATTAATGTGCACAATTTTACTTCAAGTTAACTCTGCTGCATGCCAAAGCCCCAAGACAATAGAAATGCTTTGACAGGCATCCTCATAACATAAGTTATAGAAAGAACATGGGATCACTGTAGAAGTAAAGTATTTTTTCACATTTTTCATTTTAATGACAAGAATTGTATTTTGGTAATACTTACATTTCCAATATTATTTCTGACTGGTAAATTAACAAAATGTAACAGTTTGGAATTTATAGAAAAACACAAACATTACCCAGACAATGGAAAATATTTTTGCCAGACATTCTATGACCATTCTGTAACCAAATCTATTTCACCTAATAAACAGAATATATTTTTGATTAACTTTAAGTAGCTAACAAGAGCTAAATATATAAGAATTTACTTCAATATTGCTTTCATACACATGGAAGTATAAAGGTTAATAACTTTTTTGTGTATGTATCTGCATAATCTTGTTGAAATAGACACACCTAGATGTCTATTCCGCTATGCAGTGACAGAAAACTTGACAAGCAAGTTCATCCTTCTCCATTCTAATGGTCACACTGACAGCAGGAAAACTCCATACATCAATCAGTAAGAAACCCATCAGGCCCATGTAACTGATTTATCACGCACATGTAATGTTAAGAGTCTTAAGCAATCTCATTTTGAATTACTTTAGGTCTGCTCACTATTCTGGTCATAAGATCCCCAGCAAAAGTTGACTTCTTAAATCATGGGAGTTTTGTCACACTATGTGAGCTTAATGCTTAATGTTATCAGTATGCTGAGTCCCGGGCATTTATCTTGAATCAATTATAACAGTGAACAGCTCTTGTGAAGAAACACATCCTGGATCTACTTGACTTTGGGAGCCTTGAACTTTCATTACAGTCAATTAAAGATAGTATTACATGTGTAAGTGCTGGGTTTGTCTTCAGGTAAGGTGTTTCCAGTGAGATGAATATCTTACCATGAAACCTGAAGTTATTCACGTCATAAGCAGTTTAAATGTCAGTAACTATTAGAAGTGAGATAAGGACAAACTTTAAGGATGAACAACTTCCTTATTCAGTTGTTCATCCATAGAGTTGGTCCTTATCTGACTCTCCAACTTCTAAAAATGCCACTCTAAGAAATTTTAGAAGTGAATTTGGTTTAGAGATGTTTTCGACAAAATTCATGTATCACAGAATGTGAACATAATGTTTGAGGATAGCCTGTAGTGACGCAATGTCACACAACTTTACCACTTTGGTGAAGCCTATGGGTACAGTCATGATCTAAAAATAGTGTCGGGTAAAACTGGGAATTGAACCAGCAATTCAACTTTTCTTGTACAGTCCGTTTGGCTCAAAAGCGGACCGATGAATTGCAATCTAACTCGAAAACTAATAAACATACTCAATGACACGCTGATCATAATCAAAACATCATACCCACTCTGTGACTTTTTTGCTGAATCATGAAAATATTGTTTAACAATCTATCATTAAAATATTGACACAGTTCACTATTTGTTACGAGGGAGGAGTGCAGAGAAAGGAACAGCCAGGTGTTCGAGAAGCACGTTCACAGACAAAGTTATTTATTCATTAACCTGTGCTGTGCCGTCTCCATCCGTTCTCGAACACCTGGCTGTCCCTTTCTCTGCACTCCTCCCTCGTAACAAATAGTGAACTGTGTCAATATTTTAATGATAGATTGTTAAACAACTTTTTTATTTTTAGGACAAAAATTCAGCAAAAACCAATATATATAATTTTCATCGTAACAAATAAACCCATTTAAACTGAAAAGGAGCCTAAGGGAGACCAAAGATTGAACCAGGGGAAATCTTGACTTGCTTCATTCAGGGCTTTAGCACTGCAGGGAAGGCTAGGCTGTAGGGAAAATAATATGGTTCAGGGACTGAGCCAGACATCTTTCAGTGAAACATGGGGACAGCGGTCTACTTTCTCTATCAAACTTGTACTTACCTTTGGGGGTTTGAAAGGGTAATCTGTTGGAAAGTGTATGGTTAGGAAAAACACACCCCCTTGATAAGGACTGTCAGGCTGAAGGAGAAAGAAAATCACAACATTACAGTCAATCACGGACTTGGAACTGTGAATGTAATGTGTAACTTTTGCCTTAATAAATCAGGGACATATCCAAACCTGCCTGAGCCCAACATTTGGCCCCAAGTCAGGAGAAATGACAGAAAAAAATAAGACTGAAAAAAGAAGAAGAAATATTTAACCAATTTCCCTGTCACAGGCACTAAGTTTGGATTCCTTAACAAATCCATGTAAATACAAACATCTGAAATAATCTGAACAATACAGGACTGATTGAAGTTAATGGAAATGCAGATACTGTAAGTGTAACAATAAATAATTCCACCAGGTACCATAAGTACATATGAAAGTGCAACAGTTTCGTACCTTATTTCTACACATCCCTTTTAAAGTTTTAATATTGACCCAAAGACCACTGTAAGCGTTCTCTACATTGGAAGCAACATGTGCTGTCATACGAAAGTTGGGTGAATGATTTGAAAGTCGCGTTACATATTTACCTTTTCACAGGGGAAAAGTACCATGGATAAGGTTTTTAAGTAACAATGATAACATTTAGTAAAATAACTGTTTATAAAACATTTAATGTTGATGTGTATACATCTATACATTAAACACACTATTCTTAAAATACTGATATGATTTTGATAGTATGAAAATCTCCCATCCATTATCTCAGATTGGTAGCAGTATCACAGTCCAATTCACAGAAATCTAACAGGTTGTCAGAGTAAGAAAGGCACAGGTTTGAATGATCAATAACAACAACGAAGTTCAATAATTTGATTTACTATCCACATGCAAGTGCAAGGTGTTACTCCACTGTTGTTGTGTTGGTTAATTTTTCAATCATCAATTGGATTGCAACAAGTTAATTTTTTAATATTGAACAAACTTTTTAGATATCAACTTCTCTATTTCATGAGTGCGACATTTCAATACACATTCTTGTACCATTGTCAAGCGGGAATGACCAATGATTTGACAAAGATACAAGAATCTGTATCGAAATGTCGCATTCACAAAATAAAGAAGTTGTTATCCATAAAGTTTGTTGAATATTGTACGTCCAAACTTCCAAAATGCCACTCAAACAAAATATGTTCATGTTTTAGTTTGGGTGTCATCGTAATCAAAATCTTATACACCATGACAATAATTCTCCAGTGTAACATCCCCCATTCACATTGAATTGATGAGTAACAGACCAAAGGTAAAAAACATTTTTTAAAAACATGGTGCTGTTCCTCCTAGGGCTGGCAATCGAAATAGATCATAGATTGATAAATGGTCATTAAATATTGCAACAAACAAAAAATCAAGAAAAGTGTTAGTCTCATCAATTCATGTGTATATAGCTCCAGTATTATGTTAAACCCAAATAACAAAGGTTAGCAAGGGTTAATGACATGATCAGCAGACAATTCTCGCTCACCGGACCCATTATTGTTGCTTGCCAGTGGAAAACTGCAAAACAATCAGACAAACTTTATAGGTATACACTGTGTCCACACAGGTCAATGTCATTCCTGACAAACAGTTATAATTTACAGATTTAATGTCACTAATTAAAGAGGTAATTGAGCATCTCAATATCACACATATGATTCAGATTGATCATAAAGGTGAAGAAACTGAAACAGAAAATCATGCTTCTAGTCGAAAGCTTGAGTCAAGTAACCTCAGCTCTGAACAAATATGTACTGGCAGATAAGCTGTGTATTTGGGTAAATTATACAAAACATGATAATTACCCAATTCATTTTTAATTCTTGAATACAAATATGCAGGAGCAGTTGTTTCCCATGGTAAGGGAGCAAACAAAGCAAGTTTCTACACTTAGTGAACTAGGCTTGCATTGCTTGGCTTGGCTGTTACAGTCTCTATTAAACAGTTCCTTCTATGTCCTTTCCACTGACCAATCAGATTCTACCTCTCATTCTTGCACTTGCTTCGAACAAATTGAGGCACAAAGACTATTTGGTCAATCATCAAGATCTATAACGCAATAACATGAGTCTGACCTCACAAAGAGCATTAAATTTCCTGTCACACTGTAAAAAACACGAAGAGATTTGAAACACCAAAGGTACATATTTTCAGATCCTGCATGTCGTCTAAAAACAGGGTGTTGATTTTGTTGAACAATTTAATGACACTACTCCTAAACTGAACTCAGACACTGAGTCTGGCATATGCAGAAACTGGACTTAAATAGTCGGTTAATTTCATTGCCTCAGGAATATGTGTACCTGTATTTCTATAAACTAATTAGCATCACAAATACATGAACTCTGTTGTAGTGAATGATTCACCAAGGAATATATCTACAGTGTAGGAACGATGTAGAAAATCTAGCCTGTCCACAGGACTGGCCGGTCAAATTTTTTTACCAGTCCTGCCAAAATCTAGCCTGTCCTCCAAATATAAATAAAACACCATTTCAAGACTTAAAACTGGTTTGTTTTATTTTATTCTATAATTTAATATGCACACACAGAGATTGGACTGTTAAATCTCTCCTAGTGGAATCATCTGATTATTCTAGTATCCTTTGGCAGTAAATATTCAAAAAGGTTATAATATAATAATGATTATGTCATTGGTTTGCTAAAACTGACCCGACATGAGGACGGACCAGATTTTTTTTAACCCGTCTTCCACAAAATTCACCCGTCTCGGACGTTGGGACGGGCTATCTTTCCTACACTGATATCTGGTATACAGCTGTAGTTGATTTTATGTGACATTACAAACTAGCACCAGCAGATAAACAGACTAAAGTACGAAGCGATCTTAAACAGCCGAATTATTACAAAACATTTACTTATAACTATAAAATAACTCATAGATTGGACCCAAGGGAGCTCAAACCTTCTCTGCAGCCCCTTATTGGGGAACTATTCTGTCCCCAAATCCCAACAGGGTAAGCTGTGGTATTACAGATTTAATATGCTCTTCAAACAAAGTATATAGGGGAATATAAATGTTAACACCAAGAATTAGAACAGAGATGAATTTAACGAAAAACATAATATGCAAGAACACTTTCTGAAATTTAAAACCAAAATGTATTTGATAGTTTGCATGTGCTGCACACAGTACTGCTAAATACATTCTCTGATCCCTGACACTTTCAAAGAAGGTTCATCAATCTCTGTGGACCAGTATTTCTGTCAGTCTTATTGATTCTGCTTATCATACACTAGTTATATACTTCATTTTATCCATTGTGTATAAACTTGCGATGTGGAGTATACATGGCTCAGAGCATCAACAGGCCATTGGCATGCTGAAAACATTGGCATCAGTTGCTGTTCAATGTTTCAAGATCTCTGATACCAGATGATGGAACAGGCACCAACAAACCCAAAATGATCACCACTGACCTTGTTCAGGTTGTTCCAGGGTCCCATTCCACTAACCGATCTTATCTAAGATCAATCTTAGCAAGTTACGCCAATTTTACAATCGTCTTAGCTAAAAGTTACACCCGTTCCACTAACCGATCTTAGGCCAGCAAATGATGGAAGTAGTTTATGAACCAACTGAGTGAGTGAGTGAGTGAGTTTAGATTGCTAGTGAACGCTATGTATCTTAGCTATAAATAATCGAGTCTGGACCAGACAATCCAGTGATCAACAGCATGAGGATCAATCTATGCAGTTGGGAACTGATGACATGTGTCAACCAAGTCAGCAAGCCTGACCACCCGATCCCGTTAGTGGCCTCTTATGTCAAGCATGGGGTTTTGAAGTTCAATATTCTAATCCGGGCCTTCATGGGTATTTTTCCAACCAAGTGTAAACGTGGAGAAAAAACCTAGAGCAAAATATTAGAGTAGTGAGCATCTTGGTTTCAGGTGCAAGTGTGTGTGAACGCTGGGTATCCGGCATAATATAATAATAATAAATGCATATTTATAGTGCGCCTTTTCCACATCCTGGGGCATGCTCAAGGCGCTATGTACAGATAATTTACACAAGAGTATTTACAGCCGAGATTATAAGTAATATACTGAGAACAGGTTTTAAGTCTGGACTTAAAAAATGTCAATTATGTCAGAGCTTTTATCATGTGCCTGAACCTTGTCAATCAGAATAAACAAGGCGTGACGAGGCATCCTCTATAATGTATCTAGAATCTGTCAGTGGTCTTGAATAACACGCGGCCTGCCTTTAGAATCCCCCACCAAATAAGGCATGTGAAATCAAACATATTTGTATAGTTTGTTTCAGAACATTGTTCACTTCATGGCTGTCCTTATGCTTAACCATAACGTTGCAATATTGTTGTACAAATGTGTTACACGGACTCGCTCGGGTGTGTTCCCATGACGACAGTGGTCAGACTGGTCTGACATTTGTAAGGCTTCAGTGCAGTGTTTGTTTACTTCACAGAAATGTACAAATTCATTTCATGGGGGGTTTTAGGGGACGCTCTAGGTGAAATGTTCGCTCTTATTTTTCACATAGAATAGGAAAGCCAGCATTTTGGTTTCTCTACAATTGATTTTAGCTATCCTAAGTTGGTCATGAGCAATTTAGACTTTGAATCTTAACTTTACGATTGACTTAGGTAAGATTGGTTAGTGGAACGGTATGCCGATCGTAACGTCACGCAAAGATTGGGATTTTAGGGGTTTACGATTGGCGTAGGGCTAAGATCGGTTAGTGGAACAGCACCCAGGTCAAACATACAGAACAGATTGACGCCAAACCAGGATCTACGACACAGAGCTCAAACAGCGAACATACATGTTGAAAACTTTCATCAGGCTAAAGGAGTATAAGCACGGATTGAAATAGTGCTATTTTGAGTGACATGGCACAGCAAAGATTGAAATGGCATGGATGAAATATTTTCAATATGCCTTGGCAGCATGTCTAAAATTATACAAATAGTACCACGATTCATTTAATAGAAAATGCGATGAATTTGACCAACTCAAATGATTCAAAATCTATTTATGAACCCAATCAAACTGCTTATCAGTGGCACTCTTATCTCGAAGTTTAAGATGGGCGTGGCCATTTTGAATGATATTGCTCATAACAGGTAATCATGTTTTGGATAACATAATTTGTGGGTTAGTTTATAGGTCCAGGGCAAATAAAAAGATACTATTCTTACAGAAATGGTAGTGTTCAGGAAATCCTACACCTCAAGTTTACAGGTTAAAATGTTGTTTTACTGATTATTAAACAAATAATTGAAATCACATAATTGTTGTAATGTTCTTAGTTTAATTGGATCATCAAAAGGTATGAGCACACTTATTTTCATAAAGGCACATCTAAATCATCTGTCTTGTGCCCTATGGCACCCTTTGAAAACAATGCTTTTCTATTCCTGATGAGATATGGGTCAGTCAGATGACTAGAAATCAACCTTCACATCTTGGCTCCCTCAAATCACCAATGTAAGATTTATATCCCACTGTGAGATTCACACATAGCATGATTCATCAAGTTAATGAATAACTGAAAATTGTGTCAGCATTGAGCGCTACTGATCCAAAAACTTAAAAATTTCAAATCCTAGACCTTTCGTCCTTCAAAATGTTGCCGTTCATAACATCTTCTGTAATGCTTCTCTACTGGTGTTCACTTTTTGTTCATTATCAACACACAAAACAAATATTCCTAGAAATTAATATCTAACAGTTTTGAACATCTGCAGTTAATCTCGATGATTCTCTCCTTATTTTGAAGAGGACAGATGCACATCCTGAGAGACAACTTGCACTCAGGTGAGCTCAGAGCAACTGACACATTTCTTTCATTTTAGTAGTCCATTGTACTCGTATGCATAACAAAATTGTTTACTATAACATATCAAACCTATCACTTTTGTGTATTTCAGATTAAGGTGCCGCTACCATGCAATCAGTATAAATCACAAGTTCACTACTGCAGTTCTACTCACAATCATCTCCTACTGGTCCAGCTGAGCATTGAGCAGGGGGGTCTTTGCCGAGGTCAGTCAGTTCCTGAAACATTACACGAAAATGAGGATGGTCGTCCAAAACACATTCTGCATGAACAACACAACAAATCCAGGAATGGATATTAGCACCAGTCTGCTAGCCCTGTCCAGTTTTGTTACTACTTAAGAGATGTTGAATTTATAATATTTTGGAAAGTAGTGCTACATGCTCACAATATTCAGGCAAGGAGTAACTTCAGTTTAAGCTGCCTTCAGAAATATTCCAGGCACACCAGAAATGGGATTCACACATTGTGCCCATGTAGGGAAATGAACACAGGTCCTTGGCGTGACGTTTTAACCACTAGGCTACAATACCGCCACTATTAAAACAAAGAAATGTTATCCTTATCAGCAAGTTAAATTTGTTATTGTCTCAGAAAGGCAAACATGACTTGTTTTACAATTCACACATTTTAAGGTACCCACTGAAGACTAAACTGATATGTCTGGAAAGTTTCATCAAGCAACAATGGTTTTAAGTAAGGGAATTATGGCGATAAAGCTGAGGGAGTACCACTTCGTCTTTGTTTTCTTGTCATTTCAAAAAGTATATTTCTGCTCGTTTTGAAACTTTACCCCAATTATGATCTTTTCTCATTTCTAGTAGGATTTACTTGACAAATCTGCAAGTTTTAATAACATTGGAGCTGCATATACCAGTCATTCTCAAATTTGTGCATATTTCATGTAGGCAAAAATTGTAAATTTTGTTTTCTTGTTATATTTTGAAATGTTGTTGATTACGTTCATTGTATTCTGAATATACAAAACATAAATTATGCAAGCCTAACGATGTTTCATTTTTCACATTTTACCCCTTTATTAGAAATTTCATGAAATTGCGTCACTACTGTTGTGAACTTTGTAACGTCATTTTGAAAAGAAAAAATCCAAAGATGATATTTATTTAATGTACATATATATTAAACTATCTAGTTTTACAATATAACATGGTTAATGAGTTTTGAAATTTTATATTTATTGCTTAAAAGGAGCCAACAAGCCACGAAAATTCTTTCAAAATGAGAATATGAATTATATTATGCTTACTTGAAGCTCTACTACCAAACATAGTTGCACTACAAATTCCAGACATAAACAGATAAATCAATTTCAATTAAATAAGGAAAATGATATTGTTATGGTATGGACAATGGAATTAATTGCTACAGTAGTTACACAATAACGGTAGTGACATTTTTAATAATAGCCGTTTTTTTGTTTACTTTAAAAGATAATTTGAAGAAATTAGTCAATCAGATATTTAAGAATATTTGAAGAATATGTAATAGGCAAAAGATTTACTTATGGATGTCCCTGTCATGTAAAAAACAACTAAAGACTGCATGTTATGGCAGTGACATTGTGATGGTATGTAATGTCACTACTGAAACGGCCTTATCACAGCCATAGTTTTCTTTGTCACAGCTGTTACACTTCCCCGTCTTTAGCGTAACAAAAATATCATATTTAAATTTTATTGATTTTATTCATTTGATACAATTTTGTTATGTTAAATAAGATTCCAAAACATTTGAAATCTTTGAATTGAAAATTTAGATACAAACAACATTAAGAAAAATGTCACTGCCGTCACAAAATCTGTCCTTACCATAACAAAACCTATGATAACGGCAGTGACAGCCACTAATAATATCAGTTTTAAAACAATAAATGGTCCCCAAAGTTTACTGAGCACATGGTTTCAAATGATTTCCCCTACTGTCTAAGGTATTTGGCATTGTTTGGCTTCACAAAATTAATTGGTTTCAGCGGTAGCCACCATAACAATTAGGACATGCAAAATCTCAGATATCATTTTGTACACACCTTTTTTGTGATAAAATTCAGAAAAATTATTTTTTGTGTGTCAAGTGTTTGACTGTCATGTTTCCTCACTGCCACTGCTTGCAAACATGAAGTAGAATGAGAAGATAGTACAGGGAGTAATCACTATTGCAATTTATTTGATGATGTTATGGTAGTGACATCAAACATTTTCTTACAAAGTTTAACCTTTTTCTACAAAATGTTTTTTCCACACAAAAAAGGCCAAACCATGCCAAGCATGTAGCTATAATATCATTAATTATGATATGTTAAAAAATTGCCTTTGGAAAACATGAAAAAGACACAAAAAGGTCTAATTGTGCATTGGCCACTGGAGTTGTGACACATGAAAATTGAGTAAAATTGGGCGGTTTGGGGGTTTCAAAATAAATATAATAATATATTTTCCCCAATTTTGTTACTGTAAAGTGTAGAATAAGCTGAAATAAATTAGTTACTATAAAAAAAATTTGGATTTTGACTTAAGTTTCTGAAATAATCACACGACACGGATTTTCTCCATCATGTTTCACTTTTATCTTCAGGAAGAAGTGATTACAGTTAAACGGATTATGGTTTGACGTCACTTTGTCATGACGTTACAATGCAACTGTATACAAATGTTGTGACGTGGCGTTGCCATGAGGTCAGATTGGTGGCTTTAAATTGACAGTACTAGTAGCACAATGAAAACAAGTATAATTCAGACACATTGCGTTACCTATTTAACGATGGACACAATTCTTTAATGAAAAAGTTTTCTTTAGCTTTACGCTGCATGGCGTCAGCAGTATTCATTTTATAGAAAGGGAATATTTTAAATTTTATTTCCTTTCCTGCTGCGCATTTGTCGATGTGAGCGCTTAAGGGGATGCACCTTGTTTTGGGGTGCTTAATCTGTTGTTTATGGACGCGCATTCTGTCCCTCAAGCACTCCGTTTGTCTAATGTATTCTTCATGACACCCTTGGCATATAATAACAAAAATAATGTTTTGCAGAGCAGTCCATGTTAGAGCGTACATGAAATAATTGTTTCCTGTTTTTGAACTTTATGCATGAAGTTTTAAGTATATATTCACAAGTTCCACAATTTCCCCGTCTACATTTTGAGACACTGAATTCTGTAGGTTTAATACATGAGTCGAATGTGGCAATGAGTTTTAAGTTACGGCTTTGGTGTTTACTCTATATCATGTCATCATAGCAATGTCATTATTTAGAGTCGAAAGAATTTCTAACTGTGATACAGATAGGTCGTTGTCACCGACAAAACTCAATGTCTGTTTTATTGGCACCTATGTGTCTGCCTGCCCTTCTGCTAATGACAATATTCAATACACAATTTCAATCACTGACCATATGCAATTGGAACTTAACACCTATCAGGCTATACACCATAAACAAAACGCATTGATTTATGGCCCGAGTTTGGTCTCTGTCACATTATGTAATTACACAGACAGGCAGGTGTGATACTTGTACACATGACATGTTACGATGTCTATTGATTGCAAAATGTTATACACAAAAAATTAGCATGTATTTACAAAACCCAACAGCTCTATATATACACACACAATGAGCCGTGAGAGCAGCATCTGCAAATGAACCAGCCGTTACACTTGAGTGCACACCCACCCGCTCTGACTGGGTTCGGTATCCCGGCTGCTTCGTTTCTTGGGAAGTAAACCCAAGTACAAAATATTGCACTTTTGATTTGCGATCGTACGCTTATAATTTTGTTTATATGCTTTTTCATAACCAGCAATATATATATGTCATGAGTAAGTGATAATTGTGTTTTAATTAGTTTTGATTTTTTGATTGCATGTGACCTTTAAAAGCAATTTCATTATTTAGCGTTGACAGAATTTCTAACTGTGATACAGATATGTCGTTGTCATAGACAAAACTCAATGTCTGTTTTATTGGCACCTATGTGTCTGCCTGCCCTTCTGCTAATGACAATATTCAATACACAATTTCAATCACTGACCATATGCAATTGGAACTTAACACCTATCAAGCTATACACCATAAACAAAACGCATTGATTTATGGCCCGAGTTCGGTCTCTGTCACATTATGTAATTACACAGACAGGCAGGTGTGATACTTGTACACATGACATGTTACGATGTCTATTGATTGCAAAATGTTATACACAAAAAATTAGCATGTATTTACAAAACCCAACAGCTCTATATATACACACACAATGAGCCGTGAGAGCGGCATCTGCAAATGAACCAGCCGTTACACTTGAGTGCACACCCACCCGCTCTGACTGGGTTCGGTATACCGGCTGCTTCGTTTCTGGGGAAGTAAACCCAAGTACAAAATATTGCACTTTCGATTTGCGATTGTACGCTTATAAGTTTGTTTTTATTATATGCTTTTTCATAACCAGCAATATATATATGTCATGAGTAAGTGATAATTGTGTTTTGATTAGTTTTGATTTTTTGATTGCATGTGACCTTTAAAAGCAATTTCATTATTTAGCGTCAACAGAATTTCTAACTGTGATACAGATATGTCGTCGTCACAGACAAAACTCAATCTGTTTTATTGGCACCTATGTGTCTGCCTGCCCGTCTGCTAATGACAATATTCAATACACAATTTCAATCACTGACCACATGCAATTGGAACTTAACACCTATCAGGCTATACACTTGAGTGCACTTGAGTGCACACCCACTTGCTCTGACTGGGTTCGGTATGCTGGCTGCCGGCTGCCCGGAAGTAAACCCAAGTACAAAATATTGCACTTTTGATTTGCGATTGTACGCTTATAATTTTGTTTTTATATTTTTTCATAACCAGCAATGTATATTATTTCAATATATGTCATGAATAAGTGATAATTGTGTTTTAATTATGTTTGATTTTTTGGTTGCATGTGACCTTTAACGTCCATAATGACAATAATAATAATATATATATACACATATATCTTCGAGGTACTGTCATCAAAACCATAAGGATGGATAGTGATACAGTCACTTTAATAAAGTAATGTTATAATGTTGTGCACCTCACTGTCGTAGTAGTATATCTATAGAGTTACACAAAACTATGTCAAGCACAGCAAAACATAAGCATCTGGTGTCTGTTCATATTCAAGAGGAAGCGCATTGGTTTACCAATACTGAAAGTCTGGTCGCATGATTTACATACACCTGTGGTTCATCCATGTAACAGAAACTTCTCATGAAAAAAGATGACTAGAACCGAGTAAGCATGGTGGTTATGGGCTAGTTTTTAAAAAAATACTTCAGAATTTGTTGGTTTCACATTAGTTTTCAACTCGCATGCGCAGAGCGTGTGGAAAAATGTCCACTGGTAAACTTCCGGTTTGGTCGTATGTTTACCAATGGCGTAAATACACTCTAAATAAAAGCTGTTATGAAAATTATTTACACTGTGACAACTGTTCATAGCTGAGTACATACTTCCTTTTGCCTATGCTTTTCAATAATTGATGTGCTATTTTGGTTGCAATTCCATCAGAGATGTAGGGTTGTTTAGTTGTGAGAAGGGGATGTGCGGGAAGGACGGTGGTGGTGAGATGTCTATATACAAGAGCTTGTTAGCATAAATTAAGCTATTTATATAACTAATCCCAGCCATTGTTTCATAATTTAATTGGGATCAGTTGCATTTGACATAAAACTATATATTTGTTTTGATTTTGGTTTTCTTTGGAGTGTGTTTACACTCGGTAAAGCATACGACCAAACCGGAAGTTGACCAGTGGATTCGTTACACGCTCTTCGCATGCGCACAGCGAGTGGAAAAAGTAATGTGAAACCAACGAATGGCAAATGTAGTGTCTGTTAAATGACTATGAAGTCTTGATGAGTCATGAAAATGTTTATTATGAATGTCCTGTAACAAATGTGAAGCCGCAGGTCTTGGAAACAAGAACAAACACAACATTAAACATCTTCGTCTTTCATATAGCGTAAAATAGTCGGATAAAATCAAATCCTGGATTTATACATTACAGTTTCCTTGTTCAAAGTCATGCAGATTCTTGACATGGGGAATGTGGCATGTCAAGGGTGGCAAGAAGGTATGCTGAAATGAATACATGTATACCTAAACATCAGCCTCAAAGACCAAGATCTGGTGGAAGTGCTCTAAAAGATCAAGTCTGAGTTGTTCTGCGCTGTTGTCGACCACTTTGGACATAGAAAACCCAGATCTGAAGAAAGAACACAACCATACCCCAGAACAAACTGCCATCGCCTATGCCAAGATGAGACTGCCAGCCATGGAGCACACAAAGCGCAGTATCCGATACCATTGCCTCTGACCACCTGCACCCAGACAACTAAGTGACCTGACCATTCCTGATGAATTCTCTTCTACCACTGGCCCTAATCCTGAACCCTTTCTGTTATTTGATAACGCAGTGTTTCCGTTTACCGGCATATGCCGGTATTTTACCGGTAAAAAAATCAAAGGACCGGCATATTTATGGCAAACAAGTCCTGGGGACCGGCAATAAATAATTAGCGTGCCTGCCGAGAGGGGATTTAGCTTGCAAAATAGAATCCACACTGCAAGAAGAAACCGTCTTGCGCAGCATCGTATGAACAATCTAATGATTCTCAACATGCATGCTAATGACCGTTTCGACTTCACGAGAGCATCCGAACTATTCCGTAAAACCAAGAAAAGAAAAGTGTAATTAACAGTTGATACCTGTACAAGTACTGCCAAACAAACTTGCGGTTTACTAGTAACATGTGACGTCATTTCACATTTCATGTTCGAATGAGTTTGATACGTTTGTTGTTATTAAAAATGAAACACAAACACACACACACATTCTTGTTGTTATCTTTATTTAACATGGAAAAGAAGTGGACTGGTGAAAATAATAAGGGACTGGTATATTTGAGGCTTACCAGTCCCATGGACTGGTAAATTCGAAACTCACCGGAAACACTGTAACGGACCTGATTTTTCTGAGAGAGTGATTGCATTTGGTACTCCAGAAGGACTACGTCAAGTTCTTCCACTATCTTTATGAACGGTAACTTTGCCATGACTCCCAACCTGTTTTCTCAAGTGTACATCCTAAGAGTTAAACTACAGAATGAGTATGTCAACTGTGTGTATGCCCTCTTGCAGCGAAAGACACGACATTCCTACCAGACTCTCCTACAGGCCATAGTAGATAAGTGCGCTGAAATGAACTTAGAACTTGACCCAGATTCTGTGCCTACTGACTTTGAAGATGCAGTCCTGCGTTCAACTACAGCAGTGTTTGGTCGCAACATTCAGACACGCGACACAAAGTACTTAGAGAAAGGTCCAGAACCTTGGCCTCTCTTAGCTCTACCACGAGGATCCTGAATTCAGACTTTTCTGCAGCAAGATAGATGGTTTGGCCTTCCTTCCAGTAGCAGACGTAAGAGCCGGCATGCAGCATCTGAAGGAAATTGTCCCCAATGAGGTGCATGAACTCCTGAGCTACTTTGACCAGAATTATGTCACAGGCACCTATCGACAACGACCACAACAAGAACAAGACATTCTTCAGATGCGTTTGAGATACCTCCCTCCACATTATCCTCCTGCTACATGGAATGTCCACCTTGCCACCCTCAATGGAGATCCAAGGACCAACAATGCATGTGAGGGATGGAACAACAAGTTCGCCAAACTTGTGGGCTACCTCCTTCCAGAACCAATGCCAAAGCAGTTGCCTCCCACAAAAGACTGAAGAACCTGCGCCAGAGATGGGTCAACAGTGACATTTCCATCCGAGACTTCCTTACTGCAGTGGGCCAGAATATCAGACTTTTTAGAATTATCATGGGAACCTCTATTATCATGGTAGTTAATGTTGTCGTCATCGGGAGTATGAACGGCTACTGACATTTAGCAATTTATATATATTTTCAGTTGACTGGTGTTTACTCTTCATTTCTGTCACAAATAATGTGACACATAGTCGCAACTCGTTTAATACCATTGCGGCAATTCTGATTGTCTTTTGACCCGGAAATTGAAGCAACTCTCTTATATCGCGGTATTGCTATTTTCTTACTATGGCACGCGGTACAAGCAGATGACACTCTGAAACGTTTACTAAGACAAGTAACGAATCTAAATAGTTTGATCATTAAAAAATATTTAGGAATTTCATTCACATTAGTAATATCATCATGTGTTTAACCCAAACATCTGAAACTTCTATTCATGTGGATACAAGGTAACAATAACGTTACAAAACATTGTTTTTCCGCCTTAAAACGTACCATACAAGTTGCTGCCGTGTATAGTGATAATACGTCACTTCTAGTTATATTTTTAGCACGGAAAATAAGCAAATGACCTTATAGTTTCGCAGAATTACTCTTGACGAAGTAAGTTTTGATTCATGCTAGATGTAATGGCAGTAGGGGGGGTCATACTAGTTTCAAAATGTTCCAGAACTTACTGAAAAGATGAATACTTATATATTTCTGCGATTAGACATGACATTCCAATGAAATAAATGACTGTTTCAAAAGCGAATATATTTCACGTAATTTGCATATGTAAACAGCCGATGCGGGGCGCGGTGTTTCTGCTTTCTCAATGTTTTCGTGTTTCGCGATAATAGAGAGTCCCAGTATTAGTAAATGACTTGCCAGTGTGTGACTTAGCAGAAAAATGTGCTTCATTTAAATGTGCTAAATTGTCAATCATCTGTTACCAAATTTTGCTTATTATTATGTAGTATGAGATACACACGTAATAAAGTATGAACAAAGTATTTCTCTTTTTCCCTTTTCTTTTTTTCCTAGCAAAAATAATGTTTTTTCTTTTCTCTTTTTCCGAATACCGGGGAATGTTTGGGTGCTTATTTGTTATTTCGATGGACATCAACAATACAATGTACAATAGTTACCATAACAGTACATTAGAGAATACCTAAACAACAGCGGTACACGAACTAATTGACATCAGGGAGCTAAAGCAAATTGAAACACGACCACTGGTGAAAACGAGAGACGAAACAGTTTTGAACACGGCTGTTCATACCGGCAAAATATGTCGTTTTGAACGTTTGTGATCGTTCACATTCTTACCTTAGATATCCTTTTAAGAGCCATAGTGTATTATAGTGTTTATTGTTGGAGATGTATGACTAAAAAACCTCCTCTTTCCTAGTTTTTGGGGCCAATTTTCACTTGCTCAACACTGCATGGATACTGTAACTTCACTGAGCATGCGTATGGGGTCACGAGCAGATACTTCCGCTAATGACGTAGATTGCCATACGGCACGGTTCGCTTGAATCTCCAGTGAATCATTCGTGAACATTCCCGAATGCACTTTCGTCACCCCCGATGATTTGACACAAAATTCGCCAAGAAGCCAGTATTTCCCAAGTGATGATGCAATTGTATGGAGGATACAGGCTGCCAGCTGCAGTTTTGAAGGCGTCAACTCATCTCCAATGAATCCAGAATAGTATAATGATGATCATAATAATGATAATAAGTAACCATAAATTTCATTATTAGTTGTCAGATTCAGAATTGGCTGGAGACAAAATACAAGCATTTTATACTAAAATCGTGTTAATAATCACGAGATTTCACGTCTGGAACGTGGACCCAAAAAATGCATAAAAGCTCGGATACTTTAAGATGGCAACTTCTTTATTACATTATGCAACGATCGTTCGATTTAGATTCTTATACCCTTGTCAAGCAAGTCTGAAAAAATGACAACGCGTATTTCTTATCAGGATTATTAACCAGAGTTATAAGCGAATCCATCCAGACGACAGGTGATCTCAGACTCCGTAAATATTGTTACTAAAAATAGAACTCGGTCAGCCGTCGCGAGAAAGCACTGACTTGGTACGGTCTTTACCAAGCGCTGTGTATATTTTGATGTAGTCATGTAATCGAGACCGACATGCAGTAGCGCTTAGTCTCAGTTTGAATGTACCTAAATAATTACCACATCATACATCGCACTAAATGTAGGCGTCAGCTGGACTTACGCGTTGAAATGAAATGTGTATAGTTTGTCGACTATTAACATTACAACACTTCTCAGGGGCGGTGGGGTAGTCTAGATCTAGTGGTTAAAGCGTTGGCTCGTCACGCCGAAGGCCCGGGTTCGATTCCCCACATGGGCACAATGTGTTAAGCCCATTTCTGGTGTCCCCCGCCGTGATATTGCTGGAATATTGCTAAAAGCGGCGTAAAACTAAACTCAGTCAGTCAGTACAACACTTCTCAAAAGACATTTCGCCAAACCTGTGTCACCGTTTTAAATAAAACGAACAAAAACTATTAAATGGTTCATCAGAAAAAAACGATGTGACATTATATAGCTATACCATTTGTTTTCTTGCTTACTCTTATTTACTCTCATATTCCTTTCTTCAAAAAGAAGGGTCAGAGGGAAAAAATAACAAAACCAAAAAAACAAACAAAAGAAAACACCACACAGTTGTGAGTGAGTGAGTTAGTTTAGTTTTACGCCGCACTCAGCAATATCCCAGCTATATGGCGGCGGTCTGTAAATCGAGTCTGGACCAGACAATCCAGTGATCAACAGCATGAGCATCGATCTGCGCAATTGGGGACCGATGACATGTGTCAACTAAGTCAGCGAACCTGACCACCCGATCCCGTTAGTCGCCTCGTACGACAAGCATGGGTTACTGAAGATCAATATTCTAACCCGGACCTTCACGGGTCTCAGATACAATACGTTATACGTTAAATATCCCACAATATCACAGATACCCAGGAACCCTGATAAACTGTTGTCCTGTGTATCGTCACATTATCATCTCAATACTGATAATTAATAAAATAGAACAGTAAATTACCCTTCCTGTAGGTGTACTGCCGAGGTCTATATGGCTGTGACACAGTAGCTTCGTCAATATAGGTTGAACCTGCTTGCAGTGAACGGCTGTATCTATTTTCATATCCAATATTTCTCCATTGTGCTCGACACAAGTGAAACCATTCATTGGGAAGAAGGCTACGCACGTATATGACATGCACCAAGGCGGTGCAAATCACATTGTTATTGAAATATATTTACCAGCTTGGACACAATGGCGCAAAATCGACCGGGACAGATAAACGTGTGTCTGGTTTGCTACATGCAATATTCCTCTGTAAACAACAACACATTGAATAGCTAGTGAAAGGAGATGTAAAACATACGTGTAAAGTTCACTGTGCGGATATGTGTTCCTGTACACTGGATAAAGAAACTTCAAATAGAAACTGACTGGCTTTGTGAGTGTTCAACGGCCAGATGAATTTCAAACTCAAAGCATTCATTCACATTGCAGGTTTAAACGTCACAATAGGATATATTATGCTTCGTAAGGGATATAATTATGGCGACATAAGCTTATATTGGCACGTTAAAGCATTCCAAGAATTTGAATTGGACTTTTACTCTCAACAAATTGTCTAATGTGCTGTAGATTACAGACAAAAAGCTGTCGGTAGATGGAGAGGTAAAAAGCATCTAATTACTTTTGTCAATGTGTAATGTTTAGGAGTTGGTGTTACAGATATCGATCGAAGTTCAAACTCGTCGGTGTTTGCGGATGACGAATTCGACCCAACGATTACGTATTGTTACGTGTCGTAGATACTGACGGATCAGATAGAGACTATAGGTTTCATATCGAGTGATATATCTTACTTACACTAAATGGAGGGACTAATAACTAGGCTCTGAAATGAACATAGTTTACAGAAAAAAGCACTTAGTAAAAAAGATAAAATATAATGACAGGAGCCCTGAGACTTTCTTCATTTTCTAGACTTGCTCGGGCTTTTTTGGATATGTTTGCTTCAGGGTCTGTATGACAGACTAGGTAGGCTGGTGGCAGTCCCCTTCTCCCTATCAGTACTACTGCAACATTAGACAGATGTGAAGCGATCTGTCTCGCTGTGGCTGACTGTTAGGGCACATACTACAGCAAAAATCCTGCTTCTTCTATACAACTACTTCAACGACATTTGGCGGAACAATCATTTCTCGAGAAAGACCTGTCCAGGAGGTAACAGTTGAGAGTCGCCAATTTTGATATATTTTATACCGCAATCATCAGCAATATTGACACTATATAACGGCGGTCTATAGATAATCGAGTCTGGACCAGGCAATCCAGTTTTTCGCCACTTAAAGCCACAGCATTTAGAAAGCACACATCAGTTTAAAATATGTATATGAACCAACTAATTCATTGTTTGATTAACACTTAACTTCCACACGCTGTTTTCATAATATATAGTTTTTGACAACAAACAAGTGAATGCACGTACAGTTTGGAATAAAAACAACACAAGTGCACTTTTTATCGGAAAATACTGTTTATATTTTCATATATTCAGTGTTGTAAGATTTACCTTGGAAACAGGTCGCCATGAACACATTGTGAGGGTACCTTCATGATAAAGTCATTTAACTATACCTGTGGACTAAAAATAAGTATTCGATACCTACATGCATAAAAGATACATGGGTATTTACTTACATAAATATATAATGCATAAATATTTCACAAAAATACACTGACACGAAAGTTACTCGAATTGGTTTGTACAATTTTGGATTTCATAATATGGAATAATAATAAATAAAAGTTTGGTCCATTTTGAAAAAATGTCATAAGTATAAACATTCAACCAGTAAAGATGTTGGATATTATCTAAAGTAAATCGTTACTGGTAAGAGTAAAACATATAACGCTGTAGATGGGACTGGAAGTGGATCGATGTCAGTCGCTGTTATATATCAAGCACACATTTTCAGGTCGAGTTACACATGGAATCTACGCAGAATAAGACACAGTTAATATAACCATGTCACTCCAATGCCGTTCTCAATCGTCCTCAGTTTTAAACGTTAGTATTATTGAATCACAGGCACGGAGCCATATCCATGTATACTACTCAAATGAAGGTAAGGAACAGCCAATTCTTTCATTGTACTATTTGTCAAGAGAGATACTAGTATCTTAATTCACCCTCGTCCGGTTTGTTCCGGGTTACCGTGTAGATACTCCACACGCATGTAGTGGACATACTCATTTGTCAGGCCATTTGCACGTATAATCTCCACTTATTAAATTTATAAAAGTTCGTACACTGTACAGTATTGTCTATGTACAAAAACAGGCTTCATCCGGGAGCCTTAAATACATCTACACGTGTTAATGATATTTGTACCTGTTTTATAAACAACATGGTCGGTGTTTAAGACCTACTCATGGACAAGAGTGAGTGAGTGAGTTTGGTTTTACGCCGCTTTTAGCAATATTACAGCAATATCACGGCGGGGGACACCAGAAATGGGCTTCACACATTGCACCCATGATGGGGAATCGAACCCGGGTCTTCGGCGTGACGAGCGAACGTTTTAACCACTAGGCTACCCCACCGCCCCTCATGGACAAGAATTGTTGGATAAGGGGAGATAACTATATTGAAGGTCATTGATGACAGCGTAAAAAACTATTCATAAACGAAATTTATAGCTAAAATACATGGAATTATCATGAAACGACCCTCCCATTATCAGAAACTTGCGGGCCGCTGCAAATGATATATGGACCGCTCAACCTTAACGACGGGTCACTATCAGTTCTTTTGTCAAGAGACGTCATGTAGTGGGTGCGTCGGTTCATTCGACTTTGGCTTTGCACTGGCAGATATTCTGGGGCAAACAAGTCAAAGCAACCCGAATTCCCGCTTTAAATAGCGGTAATATTGGCGTTCTTGCTTGTGCTAACCTTAACAACTGCACTATTAACGTTGTTGTTGGACCAAAACCGAACACTGAAAACTGACGTTGTGTCTGACATAGTTTGACATGTTGTAGGCTATGGTCTTGTCAAAGGCCAAGGTCGAATATCGTCACGTTCTGTTGTGACGTCACTTGAATTGTTCGATTACGTAATTGCATTCGGTCAGTCAACCCCGTCAGAAGTTGGTTTTGAGTAAACTTAGTCAAATTCCTTCATTGTTTCCTTTTTCTTTTCAACACAAATTCCATGTATTTTAGCAATAATAACGGAAAAAAACTTACGCACACACACGCACGCTCACACGCACACACATACATATACAAACAAGCCCTCTTAACAAGCCCACCATAAGAATGCAACGCAGTATGCCTCAACGTCAACGTCTCCTGCCGTCATTGAAGTGGATGGTCAGGGATGCTATTGCAGAACTGCAAAGAAAAC